CCAAAGGCAAAAATGTGGGCTCTAGATCATTTCAGCTCTGGGCCTGTCCCTGTTCTGGAAAGTGATGATTAGAAGCACTTTAAAGCCTACCATCCATGTTTGCCATTTGATTGTCTAGAGATCTCTTTATCCTAAATTTAGTCAAGCCCTTCTGCCGACTTCAGTCAATCTTAAATTTCTGGATATTCAAAAAGGGAAGGAAATTTTACTACATACACTGAACCTGCATCTATATTTCAAGCCAGAGAGGCTTGGTGGTGAATAATGTTCTGAGGCAAATAAGTTTGTTCAGTCACAGAGCACAGTGTGTCTTTCTGAAGCTGTTGTCCAACAGTTTTGGTTTACTCTAGAGAAGTCTCAATCTTGGAACTGAGGATTGTAGTAGAAAAAAAACAAAAGAGAAAGCCCAGGTTCTTCCCCTTCCAACTCACATAAACGAAATGGTTAAGGGATTATTGGGACCCTGAACACACTTGAATGGAACTGGTATGGGCCGTTACTCCCTGAACTTGTTCACTTTTTAACTAATTCTAGTGTCCTCTAGGATTTGTCATATTCTGTGGATTGAGTTATAGGAAGTACAAAATGTCCCATATTTCTTATGGATCATCCTGTGCTAAAGCAGAAACTGGAGGGGAAAGATTTTCCCCTACCTAAAGGACTTTGGTTTGCCTCTCTGGTTGTACGATACCAGCTCTGATGTCTGTGATTTGGAATAGCAGTGCCTTGACTCCAGGCATTTCACAGGTTTTAGAAAACTTTCACGTAGAAACTATGAGTAAATTCATGCCAGTGGGCTTTGGAAAACCTTGTTGGTACCATCAGAGGAATTACTTAATCATGGATTTGTGGAAATCTAGGTTCATAGAGCCTGATCTTGGAACCTTTATCAATGCTGTGTCTCATGCTAGACATGATACTGCTACTTTCCCTGGAAACAGCCTCAGCTTATTTCTCTTCTGTTTCGAGGCCTTAGCTTTGGCCAAATACTTGTAAAAATATTCTGTTTACCTCACCAGAGCAATGAAGAAGTCCAGTTGTGTATTTTTCAAGGGGCCCAAAAAAAACCAAAAAACCAGGAGACCACGCTAGTGAGCAATATTTTCCTAATGTTCTGAGGTTCTCTTGCTTTTCGTCCTGGATCTTTTACATGCTGACCCTTGGATCACCTCCTGCCCCATTCTTGTTGCATTTTATGACAGATTCTTGGTTGAGGATAGGTTGGGAATAGATTTATTGTTTTTTTTAAATAGGAATATTTTGATTTGAAGTCATTTTAACTTGTTGCTAGTCATTTCAAGATATTGCTCAGGTCATTTGGGTGTGTAATGGTAGTCTCTTTTCTCTAGAGGAGTGGAGATAGTGGCATCTCTGTTATCAAGATCAGAGTCCAGAAAGTAAGTCAAGATTGGGACATTCTTGTGTACAGGTACCCTCAGTTCTCCAAAAGGAAACGAGAAACTTCTCCTTCAGGGAATGTGTTGAAAACGGGAAAAAACATTTCAGGCATTGTTGGTGGAGTGGAACTCTGACCTCAAAAGGAATTGGAGTCCTTTCTGCTAACAGAAATGGGGCTGTCAAAAGTGCCATATTGTGTGGTTGACTTTTCATTGAATCTCTGGCAATTTACTTTCTCTCTACCTTGTTTGTACCCCCTACCTACCATCCATCTCTTCTCCCAAAATTCCAAAATGAAACTATGATTCTCAAAGTGTAGTTTGAAATTCAGATTCCCGGGCCCTCTTCCGAAGTTGAATTAGAATATCTAGGGGTAGATCCTGAGAATATACATTTTTTAAAAGTCCCAGATAATTTCTCATGCACATTACACCTGGAATCATAAACTACAGGATCTTTGTCATTATCTTTATAAATTGACTGTGAGCGCAAACTGCTTCTAAGCCTTTTCTTCCTGATGAACTAGTTATCTTTACCATTCTCATCAGGAGGAGCCTGCTGCAGAACCCCTGCTGAGAAATTACTGTTAACATAGCTCACTTTCTGGATTTCAGGTGTCTTTCCATCCCCCTGTTAGGAATTGAATGTTGCACCCAAACATGAAGTATTCAGTTTTAGTAGCTGCTGCTCTTTAGATGGCACCCCTAAACACTCTAGGAGCCGAATTCCTATGTATCTACCCTCTCTGTGTGAGAGAGAGGAGTTCCCAGCGTGGAAGCATAGGTGAGAGAGAAGTTAGAAAAAGACTCCTGTAGAGGGGCCAGATTGCAAACATAGATCAAGCAGCTTGGGGTGGGAATGGGATGGGCCTGGATGCCTGTCCCGGGCAGTCTTCTACAGGCCTGACTAGAATGGGCAGAGGAGGTTCCTGTTAACAGATAGAAAGGGTATTTGCCAGAGGCCCCAGCTTTCCTGTCAGGGATGCCTGAGCTGATGCAAACCCCTGCTGCTATGGCTGGTGGGGCTGGCCAAGTTTCTTTTTGCTGAGTCTTGTTTGCACCCCCAACTCCTCTTCAGTCCTACAGATGCTGGTTTATTTGCTCACTCCATGCTGGTCTTGGATTGAAAGCCTCTCATTGTTTTTGAGCTCAGTGTTTAGATAACACCACATGCCTGTGGCAGCTAGGGCACCCTGTAAAGGAAATGCCTGGGCTCTAACAGCCCCGGCATTCATTCTCTGTATGTGAGTGGATGTGGCCTGTGTTTAGGACCATTATAAGAACATTTCTCTGCAGGGATTATTACTTGGGGGCCTTCAGGTGTCCCAGGCTTCTCCTTGATGTTTAGAGTTCTAGGGACCGTTTTCTAGGTCTCTTCTTCCTTCCATTCCAATCATAAGAAGATTAAAGTCTGTTTTGCCCAAGCCTTATTTCCACACACAGCTGCTGTACCAGAGCATTCTTCCCTGTGGTGAGAAGACTGCTTTGCAGGGCACAGGACCGACTGGCTAGTGGTGGTGCAGACTGTTTTTATGACCAGGCCAGATTGGCAGCTGCCTTTGCACTGTGGTTTCAGGGGTTCCTTTTCCTATAGGGTATCTCCTTTCTTGTCTCCTTAATCTTGCCCATCACTCTCTTGCTAAAAAAAAAAAAGGAAGAAAATATTATCTTCATTCAATATTAAATCTCTTCTGATAGCATATAGCTCTTTAAGTTTTCACTTAGTAAAATACCATTAAAACTTCTTTCTTAAAAGTTATTCAGGGGCTGGCCCGGTGGCCAAGTGGTTAAGTCTGCACACTCTGCTTCGGCAGCCCAGGGTTCGGATTCTGGGCGCGGACATGGTACCGCTCATTAGGGCATGTTGAGGTGGCATCCCACATGCCACAACTAGAAAGACCCACAACTAAGATATACAACTATGTACTGGGGGGGTTGGGGGAGAAAAAAAGCAGGAAAAGAAAAAAAAGAAGATTGGCAACAGTTGTTAGCTCAGGTGCCAATCTAAAAAAAAAAAAGTTATTCAAATAAATCTGCTAGGCTGTAATTTAGGTATCTCAAGCCCCTTTCCAGTTCTGCAATTCCCTATAATTTATAAACTTTTTTATAGTTTGTAGTAAGCAGAAGCAATGTCTGTGTGAAGCAGAGCAATTGGTACTCATTTGTGCAGCATCCCTGATGCATATACCTAACCTTACTTTCCTACCAGTAATTCAGTGCTCCAAGAATTGAAGAAAGAAAAGTTGGTTGTGACACGGACAGTCAGCATTCATTCCTCCATAATAAAATAGTGTCTGGGTAATCATGGATACTGACTACTAGAAAGATAAAGCACACACAGATACACACAGACACACCCCCACACACGCCGTTTCTTGCTTAGTACTATATAATTGGTTCATGTTCATGGCCATCCTAGTTCACTGTAAAATGGACATATCTTCTGAGTCATCAAAAGAAATTATTTAGAACCATACTATGTGACTTTTTATTAAATGTTATGAACATTATGAAACTATGGAAGAGTATTAGGCAACCAGAGTATACCACTCCCTAGTAAAGCTGGATAAATGGAATCACATATATTAACCAAAGTATATTTCAAAACTGAATATAAACTTGTTGGGAATTGTAAAGGGAAACAAGTCATCTTGCCTTTCCAATTGTTGTAACTACTTGCTCTGCATTTAATTTATTTTTTTTATTTATTTATATTTTTTTAAAGATTGGCACCTGAGCTAACAACTGTTACCAATCTTTTTTTTTTTTTTTTGGTTTTTCTCCCCCAAACCACCCCCAGTACATAGTTGTACGTTTTAGTTGTAGGTCCTTCTAGTTGTGGCATGTGGGATGCTGCCTCAGCGCGGCCCGATGAGCAGTGCCATGTCCGTGCCCAGGATCCGAATGAGCGAAACCCTGGGCCGCCAAAGCAGAGTGTGCAAACTTAACCACTTGGCCACAAGGCCGGCCCCTGCATTTAATTTAAAATTTTTCTTTAATATTTACTCTCAAGTCATGCTGTAGGGAATATAAAACTTCTGTAAACAGATTAAAAATTCAAAAATAAATGCCTAAATAATTAAGTGATTATTATTGAAAAAATATCCAGAATAAACAATAACGTATCTGTTTTTCTTGCTAATGGTTCTTGTAATTCTAAAATAAAGGATAAATACACCCCTTAAATGCCATCCAGGATTAGCCAGTGGCAGTGGACACAACTCACTTCCTACAATCTTGACAAGTATCTATTTGATTATGCAGTTAGCTGGGGTAAATGAAATAAGCAATCGTTTTAATATGTCTCTTCTTTCAATATGCTTGTGTTATCTTTTTCCCATAAATTTACTGGTAATTCACCTTTTGTGGATTGAAAAGGGGAATCGACAGGTTAAATAACTTGCTTTAATATAATCAAGGAGCTGTCCTGTCCTCATTATTACCTTCTAGCCCACTGCATAGAAATACCTCTATGCCGAAATTCAGGTGTACAAGCATCACAGGATGCTCTGGGCACATGTTGGGGAGAAATAAATGTGGTGTATTTTGTAGACTCTTGTCCAACCTCCCTCATGCCTGATTCCTGTGCTTTCTGCCTTCCAGTTCTCTCCTGCGCTATGGTGGCAACCTATCCCTTCAAAGTGCTATGAGTGTGCGATTCAACAGCAATGGGACCCAGCTCCTGGCCCTGAGGCGTCGCCTGCCCCCTGTGCTCTATGACATCCACTCCCGCCTGCCTGTGTTTCAGTTTGACAATCAGGGTTACTTCAACTCTTGCACCATGAAAAGCTGCTGTTTTGCAGGAGATCGTGACCAGGTAAGTGCCTTCTGCCTCCTGCATCCCACACTCATGCTCCTCTCGGATTGCTGTTTCTGTACTGGTCTTTATTTCGCTTTAGCATCAAGTCAGGTGGAAACAATTGAGAGGAACAATGAGTGTGTGGGGACATTCTGGCTTAATAGTGAGTTTCCTCATCAGAACTGCCATTGGGTAATATGAGGCACTCACCGTAAACCAAGGCTGGGCAGAATATGGTTCTGAGCAACCTAGCTCTGCCAAGTTTGTGAACAGATTTTAAGATTCTAAGAATGTATCACTTCAAAAGAAAGGAGGAGGTCCATGGAAAATTAGCCTGCCAAAAAAAGATAGACCTTTTTTTGTATCAGTAAAACACAATGATGAATGAAACAAACTAAGTACCCTCCAAGAGACATAGATCCTGAATAGCCCCTTAGGATGGCATTTTTTTCTTGGATGAAATGGGCTGAGCAGCTTTGTTTGAGAGGAAGCCAGATGCTGACTCTTTTCCTTTTTATTGCCAGCATCACAACTGAGCAGGAGAGCCCAAGCTGTGAGTTTCCAGCCTTTTTATACTCTCTCTGGGAATCGAGATACTGATGTTGACTTAGAACTGGCAGTTTTAAAACATGCTTAGCATTCTTGCACCTGTCTGTCTTGGCCATAGAATTTCTGAAGAGGATGTCAGTGAGTGGATCACTTGGACTGGTCTGAGGCTGGTCTGAGTACTGAAGCTGACTAAAGACAAATATAAAGAAAGATTGATCAAAGAAACAGGTTTTTTTCCTTTTCAAACACAACAAATCTTATTGCTCCTTCACGTCTAGATTGGAAAAAACAGAAACCTTAGTCTCTGGTTAATGCTTAGTGTTCTCTTTAGGTCCATCAACTATGTCAAATTTTGACGTATATTCACACATGCTGTACTCCACCTCTTTAGAGTTATTTGTGGGCAAGTTTCATAAAAGAAATAGCTCTTTGAGAACTTGTGAAGACCCTGCTTTTCAAGGCAATAGCTAGGATTTTTCTCCTTTAACTGCTAGAGGTTGCTAGAGGTTCTTCGACATCATGGCTTTAGGATTAGTATACAGGCGTACCTTGTTTTATTGCATTTCACAGATATTGTGCTCTTTAAAAATTGAAGGTTTGTGGCAACTCTGCGTTAAACAAGTCTATCAGCGCCATTTTTCCATCAGCATTTGCTCACTTCATGTTTCTGTGTCACATTTTGTAATTTTCACAATATTTCAACCTTTTTCATTATTATTATATTTGTTATGGGGATCTGTGATCAGTGCTCTTTCATGTCAGTATTGTAATTGTTTTGGGGTATCTTGAACTGTGCCTATGTAAGATGGCAAACATAATAAATGTTGTGTGTGCTCCACCAACCAGCCATTGCTCTGTCTCTCTCCCTCTCCTCAGGCCTCCCTATTCCCCAAGACACAAAAATATTGAAATTAGGCCAACTAATAACCCTACAATGACCTGTAAGTGTTCAGGTGAAGGGAAGAGTTGCACATCTCTCACTTAAATCAAAAGTTAGAACGATTAAGCTCAGTGAGGAAGGCAGGTCAAAAGATAGGCTGAAAGCTAGGCCTCTTGTGCCAGTTAGTCAAGTTGTGAATGCAAAGGAAAAGTTCTTAAAAGAAGTTAAAAGTACTCCAATGAACACATGAATGATAAGAAAGTGAAACAGCCTTCTTGCTGATGTGGAGGAAGTTTTAATGGTCTGAATAGAAGATCAAACCAGCCACAACATTCCCTTAAGCTAAAGCCTAATCCACAGCAAGGCCCTCACTCTCTTCAATTCTCTGAAGGCTGAGAGGGGTGAGGATGCTGCAGAAGAAAAGTTTGAAACCAGCAGAGGTTGGCTCATGAGGTTTAAGGAAAGAAGCTGTATCCATGACATAAAAGTGCAGGTGAAGCAGCAGATGCTGGTGTGGAAGTTGCAGCAAGTTCTCCAGAAGATCTAGCTAAGATCATTAAGGAAGGTGGCTACACTAACCAACAGATTTTCAGTGTAGATGAAACAATCTTATATTGGAAGAAGTTGCCGTCTAGGAATTTCATAGCTAGAGAAGTAAAGTCACTGCCTGGCTTTAAAGCTTCAAAGGACAGGCTAACTCTCTTGTTAGTGGCTAATGCAGCTGGTAACCTTAGGTTGAAGCCAATGCTCATTTACCATTCTGAATAGCTTAGGGTCTTTAAGAATTATGCTAAATGTATTCTGCCTGTGCTCTATAAATGGAACAATAAAGCTTTGCTGACAGCATAGGTTTACAGCATGGTTTACTGAATATTTTAAGTCCACTGTTGAGACTTATTGCTCAGAAAAAAAGATTCCTTTCAAAATATTACTGTTCATTGACAATGTACTGGTCACCCAAGAGCTTTCATGGAGACTTTCAATGAGATTAGTGTTGTTTTCATGCTTGCTAACACAATATCAATTCTGCAACCAGTGGATCAAGGAGTAATTTCGACATTTAAGTTATAGTATTTAAGAAATATGTTTTATAAGGCTACAGCTGCCATAGATAGTGATTCCTCTGATAGATCTGGCGAAGTAAATTGAAAACCTTCTGTGGGCTGGCCCCGTGGCCAAGTGGTTAAGTTTGCGCACTCCACTGCAGGCAGCCCAGTATTTCGTTGGTTCCAATCCTGGGTGCGGACATGGCACTGCTCATCAGACCACCTGAGGCAGCGTCCCACATGCCACAACTAGAAGGACCCACAACAAAGAATATACAACTATGTACCGGGGGGCTTTGGGGAGAAAAAAGGAAAAAAATAAAATCTTTAAAAAAAAAAGAAAACCTTCTGGAAAGGATTCACCCTGCTAGATACCATTAAGAACATTTGTGATTTCATGGGAAGAGGTCAAAATATCAGTGTTAAGAGGAGTTTGGAAGAAGTTGCTTCCAATCCTCATGGATTTTGAGGGGTTCAAGACCTCAGTAGAGGAAGTAACTGCAGATGTGGTAGAAATAGCAAGAGAACTGAAGATGTGACTGAATTGCTGCAATCTCGTGATAAAACTTTAACAGATAAGGAGTTGCTTCTTATGTGTGAGCAAAGAAACTGGTTTCTTGAGACAGAATCTACTCCTGGTGAAGACGCTGTGAAAATTGTTGAAATGACAACAAAGGATTTAGAATACTGCATAAACTTAGTTAATAAAGCAGTGGCAGGGTCTGAGAGGATTGACTCCAATTTTCTTTTTTTCCTTTGGAAGATTCACCCTGAGCTAACATCTGTGCCAATCTTCCTCTATTTTGTATGTGGGTCGCTGCCACAGCATGGCCGCCAACAAGTGGTGTAGGTCCCTACCCAGGAACCAAACATGGACCACTGAAGCAGAGCATGCCAAACTTCACCACTAGGCCTTGGGGCCAGCCTCAATTGATTCCAATTTTGAAAGAAGGTCTCCTGTAGATAAAATGTTATCAAACAGTATCACATGCTAGAGAAATCATTTGTGAAATGAAGAGTCAATGGATGCAGGAAACTTCATTGTTGTCTTATTTTAAGAAACTCCCATAGTCACCCCAACCTTCAGCAACCCCCACCCTCATCAATCAGCGGCCATCACATTCAGGCAAGACCCTCCACCAGCAAAAATGTTATGGCTCACTGAAGGCTCAGATGATGGTTAGCATTTTTTAGCAACGATGTATTTTTTGATTAAGGTATGTACATTGGTTTTTTAAACATAATGCTGTTGCACACTTAACAGACTACAGTATGGTCTAAACATAAATTTTATATGCACTGGGAAACAAAAGAATTCATGTAATTCACTTTATTACAATATTCACTTTATTGTGGTGGTCTGGAACCAAATCCGCAACATCTCTGAGGTATGCCTGCATGTAGTAAGACAATAATAAATGCTTGTTGAATTGAGTTGAATGTTAAAGAAATTGAGAATATCTTTTAAGTTGTCCAGGCTAGGGATTTCTCCTTTTATTAATAGAGAATATTTATCCAAATTGAGAATGTATATTCAATTTGGAGTCCTAGGGCCTACCTAGCTGCCATCCATGCTTTGAATCACCAGGTGGCCTCAGTTATATAAGCGATGTCTCCTTGGAGAGGCCAAAATGCCTGAATGACTTAGATTTTACAGGCAATTTATTGCGTAGGTGAGAACAAATGATTTTTAGAGATGATTGGAGTCACAATAGAGCAGATAATTGTGTACTCTGCAGAATGGTTGATTTAGTTTCATTTAGCTGTGGAAATGACACTCGAGCCCCTCCCACCCTCACTTTTTTCCTTTTTTCCTTTCTTCTTTGCTTTTGTTGATTTTCTGTTTTCTGTCACCCTCTATGCATGTGATCCTTATTTCATTGAACAATAAAGAGTAGGCACTAAATGTAATGGTTTATTAGGCTATATTACCAGAGACACAGGGGCTGAAGGAGAGATAAAAGAGGTAAAAGAAAATGAATGTTGTTTTCTTTCTGTTCCTGTATTAGCAGCCAGAATCTGTCTGCATGGAGTCCTTAAAAGACTCAGAACAAAGACCTCTAGCCAATATGTAGAGCACCTGGACCATGGTTTCTCAACCTCGGCTCTATCAGTATTTTGGTCAAATAACTCTTTGTTGTGTGGGGCTGTCCTGTGTGTTACAGGATGGTTAGTAGCACCCCTGGTCTCTCCCTGCTAGAGGCCAGAAATATCTCCCCTAGCCGTCCGTCCCCCAGACAACCAAAAATGTCTCCAGATATTGCCGCATGTTCCCTAGGGGGTACATTGCCCCTGGCTGAGAACCTCTGACCTAGATTATAATTACCCATTTTGCCCAGATACATTGAGACAGGTGTTGCCACAGGCAGAGCCACACAAGGTGTTTTGTGATGGTCCTCATTATGTTCAATGACAGGATGTAGTTGTTTTGCCTTTCTAGTTATATATAATGATAAAAACATTGAGTGGTTTTTGATTTTCTCACTCCAGATTTGACTGATTTATTATTTGTGGCTTTTGGCCTATGGGAAGAGCTTATGGGG